GGTGCGGGAGGGCTTCGGCCGTGGGCTGGTCGGCCTGGGGCCGGGAGTCACGGCTCCTGGGCTGTCAACTCCGGCAGTGCCCCGGCGAGGTGTCGCTGCGGCGCCTTCTTCCCGCTTGCATCACCGCATCGCCTCAGGTGTCCTGCGGGTTCATTAGCTGCTTACAAAGTAGCGAGCTTAATGACGATTTTCTAGAGATACTGTGCTGCATATGCAAGTGCTTTTGCCTCGGGCGTCACTGTGGTAGCTTGTCCCTCCCTTCCCCCAGCGCCAGATTTACATTCATGATTTATTTTGGAAACCTCGTGTTGAGAAAACCTTCTTTACTGGATCCTTTACTTCTCAAGAGGAGTTTTGTTATGTGTGTATAGTTTACTGAAAAGACAAAAGGTTTACTAGATAAATATGAAATGCAGTTGCTGAATGATATCGTGATGCTTGTGAGAAGATGGGAAATGCATGGTGCTGAGAGACCTTTAATTGCTGTTTTCTTCACTTCCATTTCTGCTGCTTGAACTTTGTCAGTGATGCCATATATTACGTTACTATTTTTTACTATTATTAAGCAGGAAATGCTTTATTCTGTTGTACTGGTTTCTGTTGTTGGCAGCAACAAGTACTTTGCGCACTCTTCCTAGGCATGAATGAAAGTTAGTTTATAATATAGTTTCTCATATGTCAACGGTTAGAATTAGCATCATTGTTTTGCTGCGTTGTCTATGTAGATGAGCAAGATTTCTTATATTGTAATAGCATGTTCATTGATACTTTTGATTCCTCAGCTGTAGAAGAGGAATCTACAGAATGGCAGAAGAGAAACTGCCATTTGCTTAATATGAAATATTTACCCCTAGAATGACAACCATTTTAGCAAATCCACATCAAGTGGAGGGACTGCTTAGAAAAGACAACAGAAGATCATGTCGCGAATGCATCATTGCATTCGAACAGAGTGTGCCCCGTGTAACTCTAATGCCAGATGTCATACTGAGTTTCAGATGAGAGCTAACCTGTAGTATAGTCTCTGGCCCATCTGACTGAAATAAGGAAAAAAATCTGAATGCACTATAGTAATACTAATTTAAGAGAATTACCCATTGAAGATCTGTTCTCAGTGTATGGAAATCGGAACTGTTTTTTCTTATAGGAAACGTTTTGAATACTGAATTTGTCTTACACATGACAAGTAGGATGAAGCGTTTTCTTCAAGCCCTTTAGACTGGGACATCGTTAGGGAAGCATATGAGAGAAGGTTACTTATTGGAACATGATTGTAAATTCTTTTATTGCCTGTCTAGAATCTTTCATTTGAGGTTATCTGTGATAAAAACTGATTAGCAAAGCCTAACTCAGCCCAGTGCTTACTTGTTGATGTGCAAGATTTGCTTATATCTTCTCCTGTTTTAAGAACAAAATTTTACATCTTTCAGCCAACCTAATATTTCAGGTGAATTCTGACTGATCACCTATTAGAAAACCATGGCGGCTTAGTTGCTTTGTTTCATTACATCAGTTCATTTCTGTTACTTTGAAATCAGCATGGTTAAAGACACTTTAGTTTTGTTTTACTTAATCACTGTCAGATTTTACTCTTCTGCTTCTGGTAGTGGATAGTGTCTGATGCCATAAATGGCAACAAGTGATCCTTGAGGAAAGAGGAAACCCTGTTCCCTTCAGGAGTTTTCATGATGCTCTGATTATGATGAAGTGTTCATAATGTTTTGCTGTAATATTGAAGAAGATCATCAACCTAGACAATTGTTTTGTGGTGAATTGTGGACTGGAATTGTGCACTTTTAGACATGTTTGAGACTGTGATTTTATTTTAAATAAATATCAAATCAAACTTGTTCTGCATTTGAAGGAAAGAAGTGTTTTTCTAAAATGGCAATGCCATTTACTTTGTCTTGATGCAAGATAAAAATCTAACCGCTCTGGCTTTGGACATAAACCAAATGCCAAGTTTACATTGTTTTTGCTAAGCGAAGGACTTTGATTCAAATATCAATTAACTTAGTGCATATATTACACACATGTTCTCTGTCTCTGTATGTGTGTGTATATATATGTATATATATAGAAGTATTTAGAGAGAGTTTCTGCTCAGACTTGATTCCATTTGCAAACCACTACACAATGAAAGAGCTAAGAGACACGACAGCACAGGCTCTGCCTCACGTCACTTGCAGTACAATATGTATGATGGTATCGAATGCTTAACGATTCACTGGCTTCTCACTAGATCATTTCTTTGTGTAGCTTATCTCCGGTAGCTTCTAGTGTACCTGCTCTCATATATGACATGAAAGAGTCTCAAATAATATACACAATTTCTCAAGTTTTTGCTAGAAACAAGAGTAAACAATTCCTCTGACTTTTAAGCTAAGCAAAGGTCTGTCATTACTTGTTTCCAATTTCAGATTATTTTTCTTTCCATCAATATGACATAGGGTCAGTCTGAAGTCTGAGAATCAATAGCTGATTATTTTACGATAAAACATAGAAAGTACTTTCTTCTGCAGTGTTCTGTTTTAAAAAGTAAAGATCATCCAGAAACCTAGCATGATATTCCTTTCAAATTGCAAGTTGCCAGTATTAATGTTCAGGTTTAAAGGTCAGGAGTATGCTATTTGGAGGTTATGGTACTATATAATTTCTTCTTTTGCATTCTTTCATGTCTGTCTGCTTCACTGGGAGAGTCACAGCTATTACAGTGATGCAACATATTGACACGTCTGGCAAACATTTGAGTTCATCTCCAGCTCTTGCCTCTTGCACCCATCCTCCACACCTTTTTCTACTTATTTTATAAACTAGAACCATCACTGAAGTGATTTATTTTGTTCATGATGCTATTTTTTTTAAGGTATCTTGTAAGCATTATGTGATATCATATTTGTGAGACAACCGGTCATCTAATCTAAGTTAAATAAAAGGCTTTCATGTCAAGCTAATGATAAATGACATACTTTTTACTCACTGGTAACTCACTCATATGTACTCTCTGAACATCATTAAAAGGAGAAGGTCAGAAAAATAGAGCTGAAAAAGGACTCTGTGCTTCAAGGGGAGATGGGCCACGTTCCAAGTCATTTGGCTGAGACCAAATCCTGTTGTCTCTAGAGAATCAAAAGGAAATGTAGAGATCAAATCAGTAGGATGGTGGAGTGCAGGTAGGAGGATACAGTCAGCTGCTAAATTCTTTGTAAAAGTTTATGACAAGTGAAAATGCAGATTTTCTAAAACTGTAAAAGAAAGGTTTGTTCGAAGAATGATTTAACAGAAGTTTTTATTGCAATCCAATTCTGTTTTACTCCAGAAAATTCACTTGATCTCTTAGCAAATGTTTAAGTGCTTTTTTGAAATACTTTCCCATACTCAAAGAAAGTAATTAGAAAAGAGATGTTACCACTGGATACATAATAAGAATTAGAGACTTCCTATGCAGACTTCCTGTGTGTGAAAATAACTTGCAGTTTGATTCTATAATACTGTTTGTACTTTTAAAAAGAGGTATCTCATCCTTCTGCTCTAGGGAAGTGAAGAGGGAAATTAACACCTCTGAATCATCGTCTTAATGGTGCTGATCCCTTCAAAGTGCACCAAAGTTTTTCTGGTGACAAGATCGATAAAATGACCAGATGGTAAAATAGCAATTATTGTGAGTAACTATGCAGTCAAAGTGGGCACACATTTTTTTTCATGCCCAGGGTTTTTCAACCTGTGTGCTGTTTTTAGCTTCTGCCTAACAGTTGAGTTGTGGGGGTTTAGACCTCAAAGTGTAAAAATAAATAAATAATTGCAACTGCGGATGTATAGTTTTGGATCTGAGTGAAATTGCTATAAGAGTAGTCAACAAAAGTCAAGGCTTTAAATAAGAAAAGCTTGAATTTGCTGAGCTACTATTTGTCCCTTTCTCTCCTGACTCCTATCCCTATCTCTGAAGGACAGAGAAACAGCTCAATAACCTAGCAGAGACTTTCATTAGTATACTTTTCTGAGATGGAGACCTCCAAGCCAGCATTGCTTACAACGTATTTGCAACACAACTCGGACATAACCAATGCTATTTTTACTTGGATAATAGATTCTTCCCCCCCCTCCTTTCAACAATGATTTGAAGGCAAACTTTAAAAATAATTGCATGGCCTGATACATAATCATTTTAATATAAAATATCTACACCTACCTGTTCTGTTTTACTGTGATGTGTGTTATTCAACATCACTTTTATTTATTTTCCTGTTTAGTGGTTCAGCAATCTAAGATCTAATCCTTCACACCAGCCTCGCAGTCCTTACTTTTCAGCATATGAAAATAGAATTCTGTATCTTTTACTGTTTCTTGCTATGCCTAGGGTTTTTTCCCTGCCATCAGCAGTTTTCCTTCCTTTCTGCAAGTTGCCAGCAGAAGCTTAGCTTTTCGGAACGCTTACATGTTAGTAGTGTCATAGGAAGTTCAACTGTTCTTGTGCTTTAAATTCTGCAATTTTGTAGAAAGCGCAAACCACCCGCTGCGCTTTATCATTATACAAGACCTGTTTCATTTCTCTCAAGCTACCTATAAGGAGATACTAAGTCTCCTTTAGCAAGCTTCTTTCTTAATCAGTTTTCAAGCCCATTTTACATAGATGAACAACTGAGGGAATAAGCTTACTGACCTGCTGTGAAGCGTTTAGTATTCCTTGACTTTCCTATTCTGCTTGAACCCATCATGACTGTGTTCTGGGGAACCCAGGCAATCAACTACTTCTCCTCATAGTCTGAGGCTGTGCGGGTCACATAACTGTCACTCACAGGATTATTTCCTTTCCCCCGCTCTGCTGCCCCCCCCCCTTTTTTTTTTTTTATTTTCCTTGGTCTTTTGGTAAGAGTTGACTATTATCGCAGAGGTGGATTATAGGTCCAGGCCCAGGCCCAGGCACCACCAGCAACTGTCTTCATGCAGGATACGTTGCAGCACAAAACCACAGCCTTCCTCTTCATTTTCATCTGACGGGAAAATAAATGGGTATACCTGGCATGCCGTTGTAATTCCGGTCATCCTTACCATTTTCCTTGGGGATGTGCCATAGTGGGTCCAGTGATTGCCCACAGCTCCAACCTTTTTTTATACGCTTACCCATCTTCCTTAATCCTTTCAGAAAACGTAGCTGGAGAAAGGTTGACAGTACAAGTAAGGCTAAGCCAGGATATCTTTAAGATACTGTTTTATTCTTGCGTTCGTTCCTTTAAACAGTTTTGGAGGGTTTATAAACTTTTCAGTAATGAAACCTGAAACAAATGCTACTTAACCTTGAAATTTTGGTACATTTAAATAATTCTTTGCTAAATTGACATATTAATGCTTTGGCTGTTTCATTTGTACAGACCCGTTCTTTGCTGGGCGTGTTTGAAGAAGATGCTGCTGCAATTTCCAATTACATCAATCAGTTATTTCAAGCCATGCACAGAATATATGATGCACAGGTAGTGTTATTGATATTTCTGAATGCATTATGAAGCTTTGGAGCCAGTCACGTTTTATGTCTCCTGGGTTTTTTTGAAAATATTATAAACAACTTTTTAACTATGTGGAAGTGAAGTAAGAATGAGGTTATTGTTTTTCCTCTCTGTTAGTTAGAGGTAAAAACTTGATTGTTGTGAGTGTCACCCTGGACTTGTTTTGCAATATAATTTCTTATGACAAGTAAAAAGATTCTCTGGTCTTCTGGTCATCTAATATCTTTCATCTCTAAAATGCTTGCCATTGTGATCTTAGTGTGCATAGTAGTGCATACTAAAAAAAAAAGGGAAAAAATAATGTTTCACTTCTCATGTATAAGCAACTGTACTTTTATGCCAAAGGCAGAAACTTTTTTTTTTCCCCCTGAACAATTTAGATCATGGCTGTGTTTTTAATTTGTATAAACTTGGACAGTTTGACTTTTCTTTTACTGATTCAGTAGTCTTGTTTTTCATATTTTTATTTTACTGTCATGTTTACTTTCGTGGCTAGTGTATTGTATGTTTGCTGCTATGCAGTTTTATTGTCTGGCTATTTTGCTTTTTATTTCTGTACTTTTTCTGCTGTTCAACTGCATCATGAAAGGTGAAGTTGTTCTATACCATGAGCCTGCTAATTAGGTTCTGTCTGTGTACAAGTACAATGCAATTTGTAAGCAGGTAGTATTGAGGTTCATTCTAAACCTGTCTTTACTTCACATGTAACAAATGCCTAATACTAATTAAATGCAAATATGCACTGTGTAACATTAAAAATACAGAATCATTGTGCATAGTGCAAGCCGTGGACATGATATTTGCAAACAGTGAATACCCATAACTTTAAATAATGGTAGAGAAATGGAAGGGCAGGTGGTTGGGTTTTCAGGAATCTGGCCCTTAGTAATCGGTATTGCTGCTTTAAGTTCCATATGCATAGCAGTTTCCTCTTCAAATATGTAGTTTCCTGTATCGATTTAAATCAAAAAGTAACAAGCTTCCTTTTTCTCTTTAATCAGAATGAATTAAGTGCAGCAACTCATCTGACTTCAAAGCTTCTGAAAGAATATGAGAAGCAGGTATGGTATAAATCGTTGTTTTTATGTGACCTGGATTAATACTGCGTCTGCTGTTTGTAACAAAAAAGTGTTTGCACAATCAAAACAAACTAGAATTAGTTTCAGATTAGAAGAGCCAGTAAATTTTGCTGTCTCTTGGATGTCACAGCAACGTAACATAACTAAGCAACTTATTCCAGTTTGGGTTGTTGTGAAATATGTAATGCATCTGTGTGATATATTTAAAAAAAATCTTTGTTTTATAATGAAAGATGAAAGAGAAAGCATGGCTACAAGTTTCTACCACTTTTGAACAGCACTTCTAACTGATGCAAAGTACTTAAATGAGAGTATAGTAACTTTTCAATATTAGCTAGAGTAAGTTATATTTTAGAAGTACTTAAGGCATGATATTCTTATTTGTTAGCAGTTACAGATATCAAAATATATATCAAAAGTCCTTATTTCAGTTCCAGTTTTAGTTGCATTCATTGAGAGGAAGGGGGGAAAAATGAACAAGCTAGAAGGAATTGCATAAAATTGGTAATAAAGCAGAGTATTTATTTTTTCCTCCAAGTGGTTTATGTATAGCTGCTGTGAATTAAAAAAAAATAAATAGTATTGGACACTTTGTTTTTATGATTTAGTTCCTTTGGATTGTTTCTTTCCCCAGTCATGAGATTGGCTTTAAAATGTAAAAATAATGTTTTCACTGTTTTGTCTTGTTTTTTTCCAGTTCAAAGTTATGAGCATTTTGGTCGTACTTTCACCTCCATCAAGAATAGAAATAAGGTTTTTTAGATAGTTTAAAAATTCCATATAATGAAATAACTTAAGAGATAGGAGTTTAAGATGCGCATCAAATTTCATTTACTATTTGATAATGTTAAAATAATTGGCAGAGCCAAATCAAAAATTCTACAGAGATGTCAAGCCTGAATCTTACTTGAATGTTGCAGTTAATTTGGAAAACAGACTTTTTAAAAGGAGAAATATTTATTATTTATTATTTTCTGAAATATTCCTTCTTCACAAGACAATAAAAAGGTACTTCATGAAGCGATGTCTTGCAGTGTATCTTACCTGGATAGTATTTTCCTACTTAATACTTTCATAGACATGATTAATACAACTTTGTGGATGGTAGAAAACACTGCAACCAACATGCCTCCTTTTTATTTTTTTGTAGCGTTTTCCACTAGGGGGAGATGATGAGGTTATGAATTCTACTTTACAGCAATTTGCAAAAGTGATAGATGAGGCAAGTACTTGCATTTATTTGACTTACCCCTCTAACTTTTGTTTGTCATGTATAGACTTTAACTTAATCATTCTGGTCTCCTGTAAGACACAACATACAGAAATGGCTTTTATTTGTCAGTAACATAGCACTTAATTGTATATTGCCACATACATTTAAAGTTCTATTACCGGAAGACAAAGAGTCAGTTCAGCAAAATGAGAATGTATTGTTTAGAAAGAATGCACTTTAACTTTCTGTAGATATTGCCAACAAACATTACAGAATGGTAATTAGCAGCTATATTTTATGAGGGTATTTGTATTGCCTGATTTCAGATACCTGATTGATATAGGAGCCTCCTGCTGTCTTTGTTAGAGACAGTGACCGACTCCGAGTGACTGACTCCTTTGTAAGACAACACAGCATCCTTAAGATCTGAATCAGGATTTTTCTCATGATCCCTCTCCTCAGTTCAAATACTGCTTTCGTATGGTTTTTGGAAGGATGAACATGTTCGTTCTGCCTCTGTAATTTGAGAAAGAAAGGCTGTGATAAGTAGGGAAACGGGAGAAATTGACTAGTCATCAGAAGGCATGAGGCCATATTCTGATATGATCCAATAATTTAAAATAAAGTTAGAAGTAGTAGGAGCAAACACTGAACTCTGAAGATCTTCCTTTAAAAAAAAAAAAAAAAAGCTGATGATGAGATCAGGAGACTATGAAAGAGTACGTGGAGAACAGATTCATGAGTTGTGAGACTATGATCCTGAAAATAAAAGAAAGACAAGTTTTCAAGAAGGTGAGGTGACTGCTGATTTTAAAAATGTATTAATACAGTGACAGTTGGTCATTAAATTGAGGTTTTTTTTCCCTGATCTAACATTTTAAGTAGTCTTGATAATTATGTTAACACACCTCTATGTAGTTATAAGAAAATAAGAAAGGTAACATATATCCATATATGCAACTTAAAATTTGTAAAGTAAAATAAACTTTTTCAATAACTAAATCTTTGCTTACTGAAAAGAAGTAGTGTTGAAGTCATTTGAAGTAGTCTGAAAATATGGCTGAAACTGCAAAACTCTGTTCAAGTTGTACACATCATTATTGACTGACATTAACATCAACTTATCTTGTTTTTATTCTTTTTAATCTCGGCAATGTTTTCCTAAAATTTCCTGCTTTGTCTTCTCTTCTACAGCTCAGTTCTTGCCATGCAGTACTATCAACTCAACTTGCAGATGCAATGATGTTTCCTATTACCCAGTTTAAAGAAAGGGATCTAAAAGGTATAGTGGTGAAAGAAATACTGTTTGTTTGTTTGTTTTTTTTATCAACAGCAGCAGTAACAAAAACACAGCATTTCATCCCCATACTTCTTGACTTCTTGCTCTACTTAATAGGATACACTGCTTATTTTCTACCTTTTCCTCAAATGTATGCATCTGCCAAATTTTTTTAATATATAAATTATTTCTACTCATGAGAATATTACTGTTGAGGAATACCAGCATTGTTCCACCAAAAATATTACTTATTTCTTGGAAGCAAACTTATCTTCTATTCAAGATGAACCTTTTGCAGTTGCCATAAACATTAGATTGCCCATTTTAAATAAAGTCTTGCTTTTTGTTAAGTAAAGAATAATTTTCAGATTTTGCATGTTCAGGAAATATTTGTGTTTCCAGACAAGCCATGACAATGTCTGGGCTAAACTCAAAGACAAAGTGCCAAAATTATAATATTTGTTGTATTACTAGGGTCTAGTAAGATAGTTCTTCAACCCTGCTGGTAAAATAAATAGCTTCTGTAGGTGCTTACAGCTTCTTATTTTTAAACAACTGTATCTTGTTCTGCCTGGTCTAAAATATAAGATAGTATGTCTAATTATGCTAGATTATACTTGAGATGTTAATTTGCCACTACAGTCTATGCAATTTAACTTGGAATATAAAGTACAAGAATTAAAAACAACATAATTTCAATTCATAATGTGAGCATCCTAGAGTTGGTATATATAGCATGTAAACTTTTAAAGTCTAAATTGAAATAAATATTGTGACTCTTCCATAAGTTTTCTAGCTTTTTATGAATCTTGGAAAATACCTCTTTGGCAATAGTTTGTTGCAAAATTGTAGATTAAATAGATTATGCTTTTTGGACAGGAGAATATCAATCTCTTAAGGCTAAAATTACTCTTCAGAGCCTGCAAAATTTTCCTGTTAACAATATTTACTGAAGAAACATCCTGAGGCAATAGTCACAAATTAAAATTTCCCACTGGAAATTGTTTAACTGGCAACTGATGTGGCATTTTATGTCTAATGATACCATACTTTTTTTATGTACTTCATAGACACTTTCTGCAAAGCTTTTCCATGCTTCCTTGCTTGTCTTCATTGTGCTACCACAATTAAAGTTGAACATATCTCTTTATCTGTATATATTGTAATAAGACACAAAAACACCGTCAAGATCAGAACAAGTTGCGCTAAGTAGCGTACTGATTCCTGTTTCTTAACTTGGGGACTTTTCTTTGACCAGTGATAATTTCCCTCCCCCACCTTCCTCCCCGACCTCTGACCAGAACTATAGATCTGTAGATGATATGTTTGGACTGATGGCCTGTTTGAAGGTCTGTTGTGTTGTGTTGTTTTGTTTTGTTTTTTTTTTTTTTTCCCCCCCCCCCCCCCCAATATTACAGTTAAGTATCGTTTTTGGTAAGCCTGACAGCCACATAAATGAGACCGAGGGCTGAGTAGGAACAGGCTTTCTCAGCCACATAATGCCTCTGCTGGTAACTCAGTAAGGTATAAGCTGTGAAATAAAACAGTTCAATAATGAAACATTGCATGAGAAACCTTAATATATGAATGTTATGTTTATAATACATTAACTTATTTAAAGTGTGTTATCTTTTTTTTTTGTAGAGATACTAACCCTAAAAGAAGTTTTCCAAATTGCAAGCAATGGTAAGTGTAGAATACTTAACCTTATAGATATTACAAGATGGCAGTATTACTAAAGCTATTGGGTTTAATATTAACTCAGAAAATTAGTCAAGATATTTGCAAAGTGACTAATAGTGACCAATTAGGCTGTAATTTTTTTTTCCAATGATATTTAGACAGCCAGCTTTCCTTGGCTCACTTGTCAATTCCAGCTTTGTGTACCAAAGGGTTAAGGTGAATTGACAATACAAGTCTCTCTTACAGTACTATAAATGTGTGTGTATATATGTGTATATATATATAGTTGTTAAATAATTTAAGATTTTGCTACCGAAATTAAAAAAAAAAAAAAGGTGTTAGCTTACTTTGTAAAGTGAGGACTGATTTAATAAATACGAATTTTACTTCCCTAAAATTACCAGCTTGATAGTTCTCTTCTTGTATTGTCAGTAGTTATGGGTTTTTTTAACTAGCTCTCTTATATCCTGTAGAGAACATATTCATTAAATCCTTATTTAAAGATTCTGCCTTTCTTTTTATAGATAGCTTCATTGTTTTAGAAGCAAACAGATTAGGTAAAGGTTTTCTTAATGGAACGTTGTTTCTGCTTACAGGAAGATTCTGCCTTTGAAGAATGTTAGATGTTGAGGGAAATTAGTAACAATTTGATTGTATTTGCATCTGGCTAGAATTTTTCTTCAGCTAAAGTATTTGTGGCAGTGAAGTAACTAGGAAGATGCAAGAACAACTTTTGAGGGTTTTAATGTAGAAGAACTTTGCATTCAGCTTACTGTTCAGCATACAATGACATAAAAGGTTTTCTGTTCTGTTTCGTAAGTGATTCATTTATCAAAATGATCATAAATTCTTTCTTGTTTGTTTAGACCATGACGCTGCCATTGCAAGATACAGTCGGTTGTCAAAAAGAAGGGAAAATGAAAAGGTTTGTTTAAAAAAAAACCCTTATATAAAGACTTTAGAGGAGAAAAATAATTTTCATCTAATATATATTTATGATAGAACATGGTATGTAGCAGGTTTCACTCCAAGTTGGATAGTTGATGTTCTAGCAGTGCAGACAGTTCTTTCCAGAACACAAAACTAGATCTCCCCAATACTTGTTTGTCTTGTAACACTGAAAATGCTATAAGTTGAAAGTTGTGATATTACATTCAACTTATTTTGGTTAAGAAATAACCACTCTTTCAAGGAGGGAGGGAAGGGTTTTGGATTTGTTTTTCATGTATAGCTCATCTGTAAATTCCAGAAGGGGAACTGGAGGGCAAAAGATGCAATTGCTGATGATTGAGGGTAAAACATTACTGAGTTGTTTTTCCATGCTGGCTGTAAAGCTATCCAGAAGGCACGTGATGAATACAAGTCTCAAACATTCTTTCCCCCCGCTCCCTCTTCCCCTGTCTGTGTCTTTTTAGATCAAGGCTGAAGTTACAGAAGATATATATACTTCCAGGAAAAAACAGCATCAGACTATGATGCATTATTTCTGTGCATTAAATACTCTTCAATACAAAAAGAAAATTGCTATGCTAGAACCCTTGCTAGGATACATGCAAGCTCAGGTAATTTCAGATTCTGAAAGCTGTAGGTCTGAAATAAGATGTAAAAATGCTTTCTGAAAGTTGGTCTACTGAAATCCATTGCAAGATTTTATTTGCAATCCAAAGAAGCAGAGGGAGAAAAAGAAATACCACCTTGTCATCCCTGAAGCTGTCATACCTGTTGCCATGAACATTTGTCATTAGCTAGCCCTAGTCATTTCCTGCTCAATATAAGAGTTTTTTTGAATCTCATTGTGACATGCTACACTCCCATGGGAGAATCTTTGGGGAAAGTTTGGGTGCCAAATATAAAGGTCTAATTATACTCCAAAACCCAGATACCTAAATTTAATGCGCTGCCTAAATTTTAGGTACTAGGATTTTTTTAGTTTGAACACTAATGAGAATAGCTGATTGAGACTCCAGCGCAGGTCAGCATTGAAATTTTACCTTCTCAGAAAGTAATATGGAGACAATTAAACTCTTCCTTTGGCAGCTGTTCTGAGACAAGATAATCCTCAAAGTCATGTCATTGCTGTTGCAATCAAGGGTGTGAAAGAACTGGAATGCTCAAAATTATTCTGATTTGTTTTTATTTAATATGAAAATAAGTGAATGATTGGTTTATTTGAGGATGAGTACAATGGAAAAGACAGGTCTGAAAAAGATTTTTGGAGGGACTTCATTTACATTTTCAGTCAATATATTAAAAAAAAAAAAAAAAAAGAGGGGGGTAAGGGGGGGCAAACTTTCCAGAGCCTGGCACTGCAATGGTCTCCTGTGTAGGAATCAACTCCTATATTGTGCCTGAAAGCTTTCCATGTACAAGAAGAATTGTTGCTTCTCTTTCAAACTTCGCAGCTTGTACGTAACAACTAAGTTCTAGATGTTTTCTGTAACAAGGTAAGTATTGCAACCTGTTGTTCAGGTTTTTGATGAATCTAAGAATGGGAAGGGCAGGGCTACCCCCAGTGTTTTCCTGTTCTGAGATTTCATAAGGCTCAGCTCAGTTTATGCAGTGGCAATTTTTCTGGACCAAGATGGAATAAAGTGTTTTAGGTTAGATATATCTGTTCCCCTTGGCAGGGTCCAAAGTTGGAGGATGGCCCCAAATTATTAGTTCTTGCTCTTGCAGGGTGCTACCCCCACCCCCCCCCAAACAAAAACAAAAAAATCTAGCCTGTAATAAAGCACGTCAGTCTGCTGTTATAAGCTAAGGAAGAAGTATACAGAGACCTCCGGATCACTAAAGATCCACCTTTTTTTCTTTTTATGCAGAGCAATTTCCAGCTGGATTAACATATTTCTGTATTTCTCCTGGGATGTCTCTTTACGCATCCTCTCAACAGAATTAAATGCCACTTCAGTGTCAGCATCAACCTTCCCTTGCAGACAAAAAAGATGTGTTCTGCCCTTCTTATTGAGGGTTGTTGGTGGGAATGAGGGATTAGGACAAGTATCTCTGAGAAGCTTTAACCTCCTATGGTTCCATCTGTTAATTGCTTATTTAGTTTTATTCATGACTAAATTCTCCCTTTTCCTCCTCCTTTTTTTTCTTTTTATTTTTTTAAGATAAGTTTTTTTAAAATGGGTTCAGAAAATCTTAATGAGCAGTTGGAAGAATTTTTGACCAATATTGGCACAAGTGTACAAAAGTAAGTCATTTTTGTTAAATTTTGAACAATTATCAAAACAATTACTTTTCTATTTCTACTTGTTAACATATTATCTTTGTTAATAACACATTACTTACCTTAGTGTTCGCAGGGAAATGGAATGTGAAGTAGAAACCATGCAACAAACTATAGAGGACTTAGAAGTAGCTAGTGATCCGCTATATTTGCCTGATCCTGATACTACAAAATTTCCTGTTCATAGAAATCTAACACGGAAAGCTGGCTATCTCAATGCAAGAAGGTAAGACTTACTTATTATTTAAAACTTCCAAAACACTTAATTTTGAAAAGGAAAAGCTAAAAAAAAAAGCAATGTTTTTTGAATGTTATGCTGATTTTAGATACTTAGACAAATGAGTAAATCACATTGGAGTTACTCCGTTTCTGTTTTTGGCCTCTTCTACTTGGTACATTTAAGTTGTGAATTAGTATTAATTGCTAGGTTACGTTGACCTAGTGTCATTCAGGTGCAAAGCACAGGAGGTGTCCCAATTTTAGTATAATTTTGCCTGAATTTTCACATCAAAAAACAACTTGAAAATTTGAGAGTGTTAATTCACTGGATTGTAATTATAGACTACCAGCATTGCAATGGTGTGTTTCGTTATATAAATATCCGATAAAGCTTTGGGATTCAAGTTGCTAATAAACTACAGTATGAGTTTCAGGGAATACAAGACAAAAACGTTCTCTGTTAACCTTAACAGCCTTTTTAAAATGTCCTTTGTAATTTTATGAGATAGTCTTTGGTCCACTGGAAGGAGCTGTTTTTCTGTGTATACAGAGTCAAACTCTTGGATTTTATAGTTGTTAAAAGTAAGTTATGACATTCAGATTTTTTTCCTTAATGTATATAGTCAATATATTTAGTTTCTTTAATTTAAGGAAATATTACATTTCCTTAATTCATATAGTATATACTACATGCAAGCAGAATTGTTTAAAAATTGAGATTTAATTAGTTTTCCAATTACAGTTAGAGTAACATGTTTACTGAATGTTAGGTATGAATTCCTGAAGTAGAACACAATTGTAGTAATTAATATTGAAGAGAGTATCTTAACCAAAACAGACATTCAACTTCAAGTGTTGTGATTTTTGGTTCCAGGTGGTAGTTGTTCTATTTTTGTGCAAAAAAGAAATGCATGCCCTAAACACAAATTTGGGAATCTTGTTGAATGGTATAAAATGCTTGGAAAATGGAGAAATTTTACATGACTAATGTAAGGCTTAACACAAGTAAAGTTCTCCAAAACTCAGTCTTTGTTAAGAGGTCTTATGAATTAATTTGATAATGTGTAAAGCAACACCCTAAAAAACAGTAATCAAAACTGATGATTTTATGCCTTTTATTCCTATTTAAGTTTTGTATCATATAAAAAAGCAACTATATTTTGACCAGCTATAGGTTATTTAAACTGTTTATTTTAGGATGAAAAAGCAACAGATGGAAAGGCACTAATTTAACTGTAAAGCTAACCTAAAGCTTTACATAGGAGGGGAAAAAAAAAAGGCTCTTTTAAGTGCCCAGATGGTTTTCTTATGTAATTTTTCTAATTTATACAGCTCAGCTGAACTCCTCATCTGCTAAATAAGAATCTCTTTTCACATTCCAGTAAGACAGGGCTGGTATCTTCCAGTTGGGAGAGACAATTTTACTTCACTCAAGGTGGAAATTTGATGAGCCAGGCAAGAGGTGATGTAGCTGGGGGACTTGTCATGGATATAGACAATTGTTCGGTAATGGCTGTGGACTGCGAAGACAGACGGTACTGTTTTCAGATAACGTCTTTTGATGGTAAAAAGTGAGTGTTCTTATATTACTTTTATCTGTAAGTAATAATGTACTCACTACTTAAGAATTAACAAAAATGGTCTAACGTTGGCTGGATTATAGTTTGATAAATTTTTAGGAGTGCTCTTTAGAAGCAAAATTGGGGCTTCTTTTAACTTTGTGATATCTTTTTTTATCCTTTATGAGCTTCTGCTAATATAGCTGAATGGTATGTCAGAATAAAGTTACCCTAATCAGTTTACAATGGTGTCGTACCCATAGCTACCAAGTAGAAATTTAGAGTTTTATTTGTGAAAAACCTTACTTAAAATTTGAACACCTTTTCTGGATATCTCCAAAACAGTTATAAGTATTTTGAGAAACTGAGATATTAGCACATGGAATAATTCTTAATACATTATTAAACATATAATATTATTTTAATATTCATTTTGTGATTTTAAAAGTAGTTTTGATAATTTCCTGAAATTAGTTCCATAAATTCCAATATTCTCAGAATGCTAAATAAGCCAATTTTGAATTTAATGAAATGCTTTGGATATCTGTTAGAGAAAATCTATCTTGGAAACTCCTAGCTTCTTTCCAGTCATACAGGTACTATATGCTATTTTGAACATTGCCTTTTTTTAATACCGGCAGATCAAACTTTAGGGCTTAGAATATGCTTCTGCCTTCATTGCAAAGGATATTGCATGGCGTTACCATTCTGTTTAAACTTCACATGAAAAGCATATCCAACTTTTTAGTGTTTATAATTTAAAACAATGGCTTTGATTTATTTGAATTATAATTCATTCCAGAATTATTTTTCAGTGGGCTTTATCTATGGCTAGAAATATACAAGCAGCTGTATTCTAGGATAAGTGTAAATACTGATGTGCAGTCATCGAACTCTGTTTCATTTTACCTTAAGCTCTTAACTAAGCAAAACCTACATACACCTAAGTCTAAATTACTACTTTCATTTTCCATCTAAACAGAAAAAGTATATGTTGTACCATAACGTGCATTTTGTAAATAATTATTGTGTAATAAATTTTATGTATCAGCATAAGTTACTATTTCTGTTCAAGAAATGAGTCTTTTGCGTGTGAATTTAAAAATATTCTGAACACTAATAGTAGGTATGGAATAGATAAAATGATTAAAAAAAAAACCCATGTGCTTACCATAGAGTCTTCTCTTTTCATACCTTTCTGTTTTAAAAACGATGCTGGTGTCACGAAATAGGAACTGTTTTTCTCTGAAGACCACCAAATCCTTTGGATAACAACACAATTACTCAGCTTCTGCTTAAAAACTATCATTCAATATTAACTGTAGTGTATCTTTGCTTATTTCTAAAAGGCTGAAGCCTGTGATACAGAAATGTATTTCTGTACCTTAGGGGAATGATTCTGCTTTTCAGAGTCTATTTAAGCTCAATCATAGTTATTTTCCCAAGAGAGAGAGCAAGCTTTGACCTGTGTTAAAAACATGGAAGATGTTTGTTTAGGTTAATAAGATGAAGAACTCTTCAATTGTGGTAGCTGTATAAACATGGTAGAGAATATATAAAAAAAAATGCTAAGACTGTATTTTGTATTTGCTTAAGTAGTATATGGGCAAAATTAGAATTTTATTCTTTTTCAGTTGAAATAATTTTTTTCATCCAATGTTGACTGCACTCAGCATGTACACAGAATATTTAACCTTTGTTAATTTGTTGTGCAATGTATTAGCATGCAAATTGAGTTTCCTGTCTGAATGTATTTATGAGGCATTTTAAATAAGGCTTTTTCTTTCCATTCTCTCTATTTCAGGTCTTCAATCTTACAGGCAGAGAGCAAAAAAGATTACGAAGAGGTAAGCTTACAGCAGGTTCACATGGAGTCAAATGATTTTCTGTTGCACAGCAGAAATATGCCAGCTGAGTAGTACCAACTTTCAAATACTAGGTCAGCAAGCTTGCATGTTGTAGCAGATATGGGAGTAAAGCAAATAAAAAACAGCAGGGGTAGAGGGGACTAATATAATATTTTCCTTATATTTTTAGCTTAGAGATTTCTCTTGAAGTAAAAATAAAAAGCTTCTTTAGACTTTTTACAAATAAAAGTAAATGCTAATATTATAGACTTGTCCTGGTTTAACAAAGAAGATCCTAGTTATTATAATTTATGTTTTATTTGGACAGCTTTTCACAGCTTTCTGAAAGCCTGCACAGACAGGCCAAAGTGATAGATGCATTTCATTCATAGTCTATTAATACAGCCACATTTGTCCAGAAACAAAGAAGCAGATGTACTAAATGATTTGAAGTATTTGTTAATTAAAAAGGTATGTCTGTTTGCATTATTATTGAGTACAGACGTTTTTAAGGAGGGGATGGGATGGGAAAGAAAAATAATATTTTAAAGGTATTGTTGACTTAAGGTATGTGGGGATAAGCAGCTGGATAAGGAAATACAGAAAAACATGGTGCTTTTAGCTTGGTTTCACATTCTTCCAAAATCTTTTAACATTACCTTGTTTATAAAATGGTATTTTTTGCTGTTTTTAAGGTTTTTCACTGGGCTTTGTCCGATTGGCCTAGGTCCACTACCAGGTCTTTGCTCCCCTGAGGTTGTCTAGTAGCCTAATTCTGAAGCTTTTGCCCTCAGATGTCCCACCGGAGGAAGGGAGTTTGTAGCCAGCTTCAGCAGCTCAGGTTTGTGACTTCCTGGGCTGCAGCTGCTGTGCTGTTTTTTTGGACAAGCTCTGGTTCAGTGGAACAGCGCTGGCTGTATGCATCTCATCCAGTTAATTTTCTCCTTTGGAGAAAAATTGAAAAGTAAGGAGCAGGAGCAAATTGTTTTCAATAGCACAGGGAGTATAGTCCCGCTTATAGATGCAAGAAGTAGGAAAATTCCATAAACAAACTTTTTTTTATCATACTGTATTTTTCTTTTGTTAGACTTAACACTTTCTTGTTTTGTGTGGTTTTTTTTCTTTTTCAGTGGATATGCACAATCAACAACATATCTAAACAGATATATCTAAGTGAAAATCCTGAGGTAACTTTTATTAAAATTATAGTAGAAGTAATATTTTCAGATGTAGATATGCATAAAACTAAAAAGAGATCAGCTGGATGTAATTTTTTATCTGGTAAATTTGGACAAGTAATTTTACATATATATATTTTAATATATAGTTTAACATTTTAATTTACACATATATTTTTATATATTTATATAGTCAACTCATATTGATATACACTTATATATTAATTTTTATTCCCTAAATTAAGGGAACTGGCCCAACAAATCTTTTCTTCTTTTACCTAGAATCCATAAACTGTTCTTGTAGATGTTGCTATTGTTTTGTACAATAGCATATGTCTATATATAAATACGTTGAAAGAGAAATCATACTCTTTGATGTACCTGTGAAGGCCTGAAGCAGTAACAGGGTATTTCAGAGGAAACTCTCCAGTGGTCATGTACCAGAGATGGGATCTGTAGATAAAATAGTCAACAGGCGGCTTGTTGAGTAGCACTGGAATCCATCTTTCAGCTATGTAACGTAGGGCTCTTCTCTCTGCCTAAATGACCTGGGAAATCAAGGTGAAATGAAGTGTCATGCCAGTTTTCAGTTTAGGAACTAAACTTTGTGGACAATATCAGTACGTGGTTGACTGTCCAAGTTAACTGTCCTGAAGATGAGAAACAAAGTGGTTTTAGTGCAGAACTCAGTTGCTTGAAGGGCATGTTCTGAAGAACGTAAAGCTACAGTTCTGTTTAGCCCTGGCATAAACAGTTGCAACTCTATTACAGCAGTGCAGCTGTGTGCACTTATACGAGGTCTGAATTCAGGATAAACGAATAATAATATAATCTCTGTGACCCCTTCATATCAGCTAGGAGTCAAAAGATGATGTTCACATTCTTTGTACAATTGTATCTGACAGTTACAAGATCACAAAAGGTCAGTTGCTGAATAAAGCTTGTTTTAAAGGGTGGAAACATCTTCTGAAAATCGCTTGAAAATAGGTTTCTCCTGACTCTTCTTTTAGTGAGCCTCAGCATCGGTGCCTTCTCCTCTCTTCCTGACTGCTTTGCGCTCACTCCTACTTCCGAATTCATACAATCACCCAAAATGCTGCTGCTTCATTGTTTTATCTCCTGCACCTTACCTCTCCAAAATCCATTTTTCTCAGAGACTTTGTCTTTTGGCTTCAACCCATGAAGTGAAGCCATCCACCTTAAATACCGATACTTCAAAATGGTGATATTAATGCCAGGTTAAAATGGAATTTTTCAAGATGCCAAGGGTGTTAGTATCTATTTCTCATTGGCTTTAAATGCAATTGGGTGCCTGAATTCAGCAGGCAAAAACTTGGAGATAAGGCATTTCCATTTTAACAATGTTTGTTGTTGCCTGTTTGAAATATGTACTTTGATATATTTCAATATAGTATTAAATTGTGCTTATTTAAAAAAATACAAACATGCTTATCAACATCTGCCTTCCATGTGTTTAAATATGTTGTGATCAGAGTCTTAAGAGTGTTAGAATAGTTTATATTTGGCAAAGTTTAGGTGCCCAGTAAATTGCTGACTACAGCTTTAAAGTTTACAATCCAGTAGTCTTTTTTTCTCTGCCTTTGCACCTACAGCTTAAAATATATCTTAGCAATCTTTGAAAACTTGTTGTCTTTATTCAGCCTGTCCTTATTATTTAAGTCTTCATTCAGTTGATACACCTAGTATCTTTTGTTTTGTTTCTGTCAACTGTGTATACATAAAAGCTAAAATTTTAAAACTTATTTTAAGGGACATGTTTTCAGTTGTTTTTTCCCAACTGTGTACTGCAGGAAATTGCTGCACGTGTAAATCAGTCGGCTCTAGAGGCTGTTACTCCATCTCCCTCCTTTCAACAGAGGCATGAGAGCATGCGGCCAACTGTGTAAGTCACTGTACTATATAGGTCATTTGAAGAGCAAATCTATAAAGAGAATCCTGGATAAAGTTTCATTTAATTTATTTTTTTCCTGTGGTCAGGAATAAAAGTTTAATAAGCTAGAGGAGAAGCTTTTGAATTCCCCTTTTTTTGTATTGTTTAGCATTTGTTGTTACAAATGATCCAAGTTTCCAGCTGTCTAGGCAGTTTTGTTAGTTATGTCAACTATCTGGTTTGTTTGCTTGTTGTATGTATTTGTAATGAGATTTTTCTTAATGTGTCCAGCTCCTGGAAGCAAACTTCAGATTGAAGCATGTTTTATAGGTGATTGTATGTTGATGTTTTAACAATCTGTATCAATTATTATAGCAAGGTGTAACTATTTTAATTATTTAAACTAGGAACCTGGACTGCATTTGTGCTTACATTCTGTTTCTGTTCAATTTTTTTTAGATTTTGTCTTGTTTTACATCCCAGTCTTGGAATATTATATTTGTCCTCCATGTGATTTTAATTTATTATCAACAAACTTGATGTTGCGATATCCTTACTTTGTTTTCGTTTTATTTTATTTTATTTTAGACAATCTCGTCCTCCTGCAGCTCGTACTAGCAGCACAGGGTCGATGGGATCTGAATCAGCAGCTTTATCAGCACTTTCTTTGGATTCACTTGTTGCCCCTGACACTCCCATCCAATTTGACATAATATCTCCAGTTAGTGAAGATCAGCCTGGTCAAGCCAAAACTTCAGGGCAGTTGGGCAGGTAGGAAATGTGGAAGAAGTAAAAGAATCCTGAAGTTAATGTTTTTAATTAAAAAAAACAAAACAAAAAGTGTAAAGATAATACATGTTTAGGCTGCAACTCCAACGCATACATTGCCTTTACTCTGACTTTCTTGTCAAAAAATTTGCAGGGGCCAGTCAAGCAAAACGTTTTTTTCTTTTTTTTTTCTTTTTATTTTTTTTCGTTAAATACACTTGTAAAAATGTGGATTATTTAGAGACAATAGATTCAAGGTATAGCTTTCTACTTTTGCAGCAGCTTTTCTTGCTTTAACAGCTGATGCTTTTTTCTTTTCTTTTTTTTTCTTTTTTTTTCTTTTTTTTAACTTTTGGTTTCACAAAGTATTTTCCTTTCCTATTGCTTGCTCACCCAGCAGTTTGGGTATTTCCTCTTGGAAACTCAAGAGAAATTTGGTAGCCCTGCCTCCAGGTGATGATGGCATATGATGACACTTCTCTTAACCTGAAAGGTGAGTGAAAATGATCTAGGCTTCTAGAGTAGTCTTGTGATTACTATCTCGTATAGAGAAAGTTAAAATTGTCTAAGAGGTCTTCCCAAAATACAACAAAGAACCTTTTCTCCTACTCATTTTTATATAATTCTACCCATTCAAAAATACTAATAAAAAGCCTGTAAATGTGCATTGTATTTCTGAAACTGTATGTACAGACTTCAGATGTTAAGAAAACTTATTTGCTGATCCAGCTGCTCTTAAGCTGCAAAGCTGAAAACTACTTTCAGTGACTTCAGTCACAGTAATGTGTGTTGTATCCCTCTTCCCCCTAGAAAAATATTAAAATTTTCAGTTGTATCTCATAGATACAATTTAAATGATATATATATTCAACTTAGGGTGGTTTTTTTTGACAGTTCTGGGTTTTTTTTTTCTTTGCTACAGCAGGATAATCATTGGCTAACTAGATCCTTAAGTACATATTGATTAAAATAGACTTCAAATGTACTCTACAAAGTAGAAAGCTTAATGCTTCAGTTAAATTCCTGTCATCCATTATAATTCCACTCTGGAAAACTATATTTTTAATAGCAGAAATGATACAGAATTGCACTCCGTATTTTCAATTAACCATGCCCTATAAATAAAGAACTGCAGTGTTGGGTACAGATAGGTAACATGCTACTTTAGAACTATTAACTATTTTTTCAAAATACTTTCCTTAGTTTCTGATACTGATTACATAATTTTTTTTTTTGCCTTTTGTTAGATCCTCTGAGGTTTTGCATTGTTCCATCTAATCCTAAAGGACAAGTCTAAGCAATAAAAGATACTCCCTTTGCTATATTTACACAGGTCAGCATTTAATGGGAAGATTCTCTATTGAATCCGTGTTACATAAACATTGCAGCACTGCAATTTTAACTTTACAGTTCAGTCTAGAACAGTGTTATTCCTTTAAATTAGACAAATCGTAATTAGGATTTCACTGATAAAATAAAAATGGCAGTCACTAAATTATGCAAATGAACAAGAGATTCACATAGAAGTTTTTCTCTGATTTACGCTCTGAAATTTGCTTTTAGAACGTTTAATGGAGAGGTAATCTCTCAATATTTCTCCCCTATAAAACCTAATCTGAAGTTTATCTGTTACCTTGACAAGGCTTTTTCAGCTGCCAGTTAGCTAAAGAAAAAGGTTTTATTCTCTTCAGAAATTTGAACTAATTTTCCCATGATGCATATTCTTTTCAGCATTTCTTTACTACTTTTGAAAAACGTAGACTTGGAAGCCTAGAGTATTTTCACTTTTCATTGTAATTGATAGAAATTCTGTCTTTGAGAGCCAGAAAGAGCCACGTTTCTCTTGACCCTCTAGGAGTAAAACCCCAATGATGATTTCAGAAAGCTGCATTTGAAACAAAACCAGTGACTTCTCTTTAATAAGTAATTCAACAACTTGAGACAGTGACAAGAGGTGTGCCGCTTCTATTGCGTACTGAAAGGACTGGCTTTTGGCTATACTTCCCGAGGCTCTTCAGTGAGACTTCATCCCCTAAAACTACGCCCTTTCAAACTTTAACAAGGTTGTGACTCATCAGGGTTTAATTCAGGTATAAAAAATATCATGTGAGCCAAACTTTCAGTGGCAGCAATAAGACAATAATATCTGGCTTTTTTCCTATAATTTGAGCACTCAAATGTATCGATTTTTGTCTTACCACTTTTATGATTTATCATGTGTTATTCCTCCAATTACAGGTCTGTGAAATCATTATATGTTGTTCTTATTTGACATAGCATGAGACTACATTATTCATTAGTAGTTCTTGTGATTTGACTCCTGGTTTAATATTTTCATTTTTTTAATAGACGCACAAATCCTTTTGGTGAATCTGGAGGCTCAAAATCTGAAACAGAAGGTAAAACAGAAATTTTACTTCAATGCAAAATGGTATAGTTAAATAATTTTTTAAAGGAATTTGCAAATTAATTTTGTATTTTCTTTTCATCTGCAACTTCTTTTAGTTTAACACCAGTTTTGGAAGCTGCATTAAAAGTATATTAGACAAGTTGAATTCAATTAGACTACTAAATAAAAGTCTGTTTTTAAAATAATTCATTGCATTGCATATTTTGTACAATTATTAAACAGCAAGCCACATATCTCTTCACTTGGTTTAACACATACATGTAATTCATAAATATGAGCAATGTCTTTTCAAGTTACTTGGAAGTTTTCTTGACTGTAATCTTTAGCCTCAGAAAAGGTATTTTTCAATGGAAGACCCAGAACAGAGTTAGCTCATTCAATACTTTTGTTTGTCTTAGATTCCATTCTTCATCAGTTATTTATTGTAAGATTTCTTGGCTCTATGGAGGTGAAATATGATGAAAGTCCAGATGTTGTTTATGAAACAATGCGTCAAATACTAGCAGCTCGGGCCATTCATAACATTTTCAGGATGACAGAATCACATTTATTAGTCACTTGTGACTGTTTAAAGTAAGTGTGCTTCTTAACTTCAAATGATGCTCGTTTACAAAATGATCTTCTTTCACTTTGGTTAAAATTTACTTTCTGGTTTGTTTTTTAAAAACAAATTTGTAGGTTAATTGATCCACAGACACAAGTTACAAGACTACGAGTAAGTAACATTACATTTTAAGAAAAATATACAGCAATTTAATTATTTTACTTTCTAAATAAAAATACTAGATAATAATTACTAGATGTTATACTAATAAAAACACCTTAAAATAGATAGAGAAATACTAGCACATCGGGTATAAGGAGAGTGATTTCAATGGATGAAATAGGCTTTTCAAACATTTTGTTTTTCTGATTTGATGGGGTAAGATCTTAGGAAAACAATGCATATAATATTTTAATAATGTGTTTGATAGTAAATATTTGTATAGGTAATAGAGAGGTTAGTAACATTAAAGTTGGAGTTGATTGTGTTAAGAGGTCCAAAAGGGTTTGCTTGATGATTAACTGATTTATTTTTAAATGTATAATTGTATTGAGAGTAGAATTCTTCATAGGATATCAAATATGGCCAGTTCCATTCTTCAGTAATAGCAACCTTTGTTTTTAGTATTTCAAAACTGAATTTTTTTAATTTTTTTGAGCTCAGAAGTTTATGGTCTGCCACTTAATTTATTTGGACTTTTTTTGTCTTCAGCATGTGAAAGCTTTTTGATATTACAAGCAGTGCTTTCTTTTCTTCTTCTTTGTTGTAGTAAGTTCAAAACTGCCCCAAAGCTGTGAGCTTTAAAAAATGAGATAAATCAACCGAATACCTGCACAGTATTCTAAACGTGTATGTTTAAATATAGGAAAAACACTCTTATTCCCTCAATTTATATCAGCTATAGTAGGGGCCTTCAGAATTTAAAAAAAAAATTATCTCATTATCCCGTTCTCTTACATGGTATATGTTTTTAGATGTTTTCATTTGTTTTGCATAATTTAATCTTTCCCTTGTAACCTGCCGTTTGTGTTTGTTAAATGCATGTTTGATCAGCTTTTAACTTTTTTCCTCTGGTGTGATTGTGCATTTATGCTAATGAAGTAGTCTGCAGTATATTGAAACCTCATACAGAAAAATGTTTGGAACCAGTTTTAATATCTCCATATTTGATCCTTTTTGGCAGTTTCCTTTGCCCAATGTAGTCTTGTATGCTACACACCAGGAGAATAAGCGCCTCTTTGGATTTGTGCTTAGAACTGCAGGAGGGAGAGCTGACAGCCGCCAGACTTCAGTCTGCTATATATTTGAATCAAATAATGAAGGGGAAAAGGTACTGATGATGGTTATACTTGTTTCAGTGTTGAACCTGACATGGATTTCAAGATGTTAGATCCAGTTCAAGCTGTCTCAGCTTTAATATGCTATGATGAAAACTCTGATTTGGGAATTTGGCTTAATTTTAAAGGCATTTTTATTAGATTTGTGCTGATTATTTCAAATATGATTTGTATTTAGATTTGTGACTCTGTTGGACTGGCAAAACAGATTGCTTTTCATGCAGAACTGGTAAGAATGTTTTTTGGGGGAGGGGATCCTTGTGAACGGAGGGAGAGTGCATTTAACATGTGTAATATAATGTATTCTGCAAGATACTTACAGATGGAGTAATACTATCATGCAGTATTGTAAGGGATCTGTTGTATAGAATGTAAACATTAGGTAAAAAGATTTTTCTGCCTAGCTCAGCTGTCAAACAATGTTCTAGACAGAGTACAGCTTGGTACCTTTAGCAAACATACTAGTCCTTTAAAAGCAGAATAATCAAAAACTTTTCTTTTGAACCAATTCATATAAATTGGTAGTGAGTGTATCAAAAATCTCAGGCTGTTGTTACTTATTCACATTTTTGTCCTTTAGGATCGAAAGGCATCGGAAAAGCAAAAAGAAATAGATAGAGTAAAAGAGAAACAACAAAAAGAACTCAATAAACAAAAACAAATTGAAAAGGTACATTTTATTATTATTTCTTAATATTCTTTTTTTCTACTTACTGATTTTCAAATTGTTCTTTGTAGCTTTGTACTCCAAGCTACAGCATTGTATTCTTTAGCACAAATTCGTATAACACCGTGTAATGAAGTTAATTATTACAAGTATCTCCCGTACAGATTTTGTATAACTTTGTATACTAGTTTTAAAAAAAAACTCTTGCAAGGAGATAAGCTGCAAAACATCTTTACAGGAGCACTTAAGAGCAGTGTTTGAAGGAATACTTATCACAGGCCCCAAATACAAATGCTTCTGTCATGTTCTGTGCCCCACACGTGAGTGTGAGTGAGTGATCTGCCATGTATGTAGTGAGACACTTTGTTTGCTGGTGTAACAAGGAAGGGGCTGCAGGGCAAGATACTTGCTGTATTTATGGATTGTAGGTATAGGTGCGTTAACGTGCGTTAGCTCTTCTTTCTAATAACGCCAGCTGCTGAAGGTGAAATGTTTCCATTTACTACTGAATCATCTTTTAACCCCTTCTCTACCAAAAAAAAAGGTCTATCGATAGTATTAAAAGATATTTTACAAATCGTAATGAGTATTCTGTTACCATTGTAGAAGACTTTAAAATTAATATTTTTTTTTTCTGGTTTCCCCACCCACCCTTCTCCTCCAATTAGGACTTAGAGGAGCAAAGCCGATTGATAGCTGCTTCCAGCAGATTGAACCAGAGCATTGGAGAAGGACAATTTGTAGTCCTTAGCAGTAGCCAGTCAGAAGACAGTGATTTAGGAGAAGATGGAAAGAAGAAGAGAGAATCTGAAGCCTAAGGTTGCCTGCTTAATTAAAACTGGAATCATGGATCTATCTGGTTGAATGGCACAATATCTATCTACAAGAAGTGAAATGCAGGTGGAGGGTCTGTTGTATTATATAAAAGACTTCCCAATATGTAGGCCCCATTATGCCTTGATTTTTCTTTCTCAACTAAGTTATTTCCATTTTCATGCCAGCATAATTTATCTTCTGTATGCCAGATCAAGCATGGTGATGCTGCCATGTTTACTACAAAATTATGGCTTCTAAAGGCTTCTTTGCAAAATGGAAAAAGTTTTTCCACTTACCTGGCTGTGCAATTGACTTCTCTTGAAGCAAAAATTAACATGTTATTGGACGTCAACAATACACTGAAATTTGTTTTTTACACTGCAAAATGCAGAACACCTTGCTGGAAACAAAAGTGGATATCCAAATAAGATAGCACTAAACTTTATCTAACTGTTGTTGCAGGTAACTGTTCTTAGATTTAGAAAGAAAAATCTTTATTAACATCAGTGAGATGTACAGTAGTTCTAGGTGGAAAGATCTTATTTTTTGTTTCATACTGCGCTGTATGGCACTGCCTTGGTTTTTGGGTGAATATAATATTGGAAGACTTCTCTGACCAGGAAAAAAAATACTTTGTCAAACCTAGAAGAGAGTTGAAGAGATAGATACAATTGCATCTTTCTGCATGAGGAATGTAGAAACAATTCCTTATCGAATGGTAAGAGTAATGTACGTATTCTTGCAGCACAAGTGCCATGTTCCTGCTTTTCCCCAGTACTTGTAATAAACTGTAAGCCTTTGAGTTCACTTTTTATAAAACATGCCGAGAGTTGCAAGAACATTTTGAATATCATCATTTGGAGCTTTTGAATACTTACTTAAATGCCTTGCCACTAGTTCACTACATTTATTGAAAATGAATTTAGGCTCTTGAGGTCTTTTCATGGAAATGTGTTTTTCAGAAAGAATTAATAGCTCTGAAGTAAGAGACTATGCTGATCCTATATCCTAGAGTCAATCCTGTAAAGCATTTTTCAAAGCAGTATCTGCTTACAGCTCTTAAACCTGATCTCCATTCTCTATACCTTGTGTAATATTTATTTTATATAGTACTAAATGTGCATTCACCTTTTGATCCAGAAGAAGAAACTTGTTTGTTTAAAGAAAGAAAGAGAAATATTTATTTTTGCACTAATTACTATATATGTACTAAAATCCAGTGGAACAGAAGACATGTCTCTAATAGCGGTAGGAAAATAACAGGAAATGTAGAAAGAGAGGACTATAGTTATAATCCTAGTTATCGTATAACAATTATGAGTGCTTTACAGTTCATTGCAGGGCATTTCTGCTTCTCTAGTGTTCAGGAATGGAAGCAGTTTTCAGACTATCTTATCGCCCATCACCAGTGCTCGCCCAATCCTTCACAGCTGGTGCTGATAAAATAGTGAGGAATGTTGAGACCTCTGCTGGATGTCTGCAGGTGGACAGAGGGAACAGTACCCTGGACTGGCTAAAGAGGGCAGCTGCCTCCTCAGCTTTATGCTGGAGAGGCAAATTTCTATGCAGAGGTTAACTGCATCTGGCTCCTGTCACAGAAAAGCAAGGGAGGCATTACCTACCAGCCCAGCCTGCTGCAGGAATAGCAGAGTTGCTGCTTTGAGGCTGCTGCTGGAGGAGGAGGTAGAACAGCACTCTTATGTGATGTTACTGGCACTGCAGCACATGGAGGGGACCAGGCAGCCTCAGAAGCGGTCACAGTGCTCTTGCCTTACAAGAGAGCTTGAAGGGAGAGACTTAGCTACAAAAAGCCTCCCTGCTCTCTTCCTGCATCAGTAGCTCCTACTCCCGTCTATTTTTCATCCCCAAAGAAGTGAGGCAATTACAGAAGTATCAGCTTTTGTTGTTGCCTCGTCAGGCCAGCTGGTATTTGCCTGTGGCCAAACTTGGCCAGCACACTGTCAGATGGACCACGCAGATCTGAGGCTTTGTACATTTTCTAAGTGGCATTTTTATTTCATATCTAGTCTTGCATTCTCAGATCTTGCTCTTAAGAGACTGTTTTTATTCTTGTCAACAAGAATGTACAGAGAGGCAAAAAAAAAAAAAACCCACAAATATTTTTTCCTCTTGATGCCTGAATCTAGGCTTACAATAGTTGCATGGTAGCCAGGTCATCTCTCCAAGTTGGTCCAGCTTGTGTTTCTTTCTCTCTCTCTCTCTCTTTTTTTTTTTTGATACTTAGCAGTATTGCTATTTGCTATCAGATAATATGACAGCTTAACTCAAGGTTGTTGGGTCTTACTGTCTTCTTCCAGTACATGCTGAAAATGAAGTAACTTTGAAACAGCACAAGAATAATATAAAAAGTCATTTGTCTCCAGTTTCTAGAATTTAGTCACCTCGTTGTCAGAACGATTAATGTGTTAACCAGTTTCACTGCAATATCCACAGCTCCATGTGAGAGACAGCTAATAGATGAGCAGTCTCATGAAGAAGTATTTCTGCTGGGTAGCTTGTTTTCTCCAAGTGTTATTGTATTAGCCTTATTGAGAAGATGTCGTCTTTTCTTGAAACCTATCATTAATGTTTGCAGCTTTATAGCTAAAAGATAAGGAGGAAGAGCAGGAGAGCGAAAGGTGGCACCTGAACTTATTGTGATATGGGACTTTTCAGGTGTAACAATAGAGGATTGGAATTATTTCATTTGCTTTGCAGGATTTCCATCTGTGTTTTAGAAAACTACTTTTAATGGGAGACAGCCCAGGAGTGAATTACATTTTATTTGTGTTAGATTACTCTCCTAGCCCTTAAAAAGCAAGGAAATGAATGAAGAGGGTGGTTCTTTAGGGAGAGAAGATAGATTGAGATGGATGAAAAGTAAGTTTTTTGGCTTGTTTAGAAGAGTCTCTGTGCTGCAAAATGAGCACAGATTTAAGAGCATCCAGGAGAGTGATGAAGACTGCAAGAGCAAATGGCAGGTCAAGAGAGATTGGGAAGTTAAAGTGGAACAGTGCAATGAGTGGGCAGTGGGGCTAGGAGTACTGAGGCCCTCCTGAAAGGGAGGGGCACGGGGCTTGATGGTCATAATTACCTCAAGGCAAAGAACAGCTGCTGAGGTTTTATTCCTGCCCTCCTCCCCAGAATGAAAAATATTTGGTACCCTTTTTCTCATGAGGTTTGTAAATTTTTCGCTGGAAAAACTTCTTTTTTAAAAAAAAAATTTTAAAGAGAGCTTAATATTTACCTTGAAAGTATAACTTTTAATATACACACCTCATGGTCTCCTGGGAGCTACTGTGTACTCCTCTATGGCCATGAATACATTTCCTTTAAGTCTAAACCGGAGGAAAGTTAAGAGTTGTCTATAACTTAGCCATACAGAACTGGTTACAAGGGGGTGGTGTAAACTAATTGTGATTTGATGGTCTATTACTCCCTTAATCTTTTTAGCTTTGAAATTGTACCAACAAGATAAATATTAGTTAATTGTTAAATGGTAAATTAACAGTGAAATAACACTCCCCTGCCAATGTAGTGAAATTTCATCATTATATGGATGTAAATCCAGAGCAATCCCTGAAACAGCTGGATAATGGTATAAAGAAGCAAACTTGGATTGTGCATATCTTTTAAGGTGAATTTTGAAGTACTCGCACAGATTTTAGGGGAGAAACCAATGGAGAAAGTGCTGTAATTACTAATGTGTTGTGTTATTTCAGAAATAATTCACATAGACAAAGCAAACCTCCCTCTGCTGTTTAGTTAACACTCGGTGAATTCAGCAGAGAGACATTGTCTAGTCTAACAACAGCTGATATTTTTTAACTCTTTCTTTTGCTCTATTTTACAGAATTTCTTGCAAGGCTTTTCTTTCTAACCAAGCGCTAAATTGATTTTTTTTTTTTCCTGCCACAGTGATATCTAAGTTAGTAAGACAAGAATAAGTCAGTGTGCCATTGTGAATGCATTTGTATTCGTAGTGAAGTTAATTTATATTGCAAGCCAAGGATTTTTGTACAATCTTTCAAGTGATTTTTATAATACAGTGGAGTGGTCAAATACTTACGATGATGTACTGGACTGGTCCTGTTCTAGTGAAGTATAAGTAATTTTTGCAATGTTTAAGACATATACATTTTTTTCCTTGAATAGCTATATTTAAAAACCTTAAGTGGTATACTTCAACTTTGATAGTTGTGTTTTAAGCTTGGAAACATGGATAGTAAATATATTTTGCCAGGGCTTCAGTCAGCATTTTGTAGGTTAAATAAGAACTTAAGTATAGTAACTTTCTGGATGGGATTTGTATTGATGAAAAAAAAAAAAAAAAAAAAACCCTGCTTTTTTCCAAATGCTGATTTCCAGAGAGTACCATTATTGGTAATAGGATGTCTCCCCTTCCACTGAACTAAGTTTAAGATGCAGTTGAATCCCTCTGTTTTCAAAGTATATCTCAATTCTGTTAATTACATTAGCCAGATATCCTCAGAGGAAGTTATTGTACTTGGGAATGATGGTAACTTATTTTTACAACAATGAAAGATTGAATGGTAAGAGAAGAAAATCCTTACAACCTTAGCTGGCTGTTTTAATGCACATATTCTAGACACTTGACAACGCGTAGCACTCTGTAAAGAGCTACAGTTACATTAACAGGCAGAATTCATGTGTATAGAAGCTATACCAGAGCACAATCATTAACATGGGTACTGACACTATTTTACAGGTTTCATTAGTTTTCTTTATTGTATGAGAGGCACCACCTAAGAAGCAATGCGTCAAAGCTCCATAATAGTTAAATTTGTATTTTATAAGATTTGTAGATTTTTTCTGAGGGAAAAGAGACTTTTGAATTATGTAACTTCCATAATACAGATGCATGTATAAATGAAAATCTATGCTTACTTGATTATGAAGGAATAAATACTATTAATGCAAAGTGTGTGGATGAACTACTATTTTTGTTTAAAAGATAGGGATTGCCATATTTTTAAGAAGAATAAATATTCTGTGCATCTACATGCACTACTTAAGTTTATAGATTAGTAAATAGTATGCATATTCATTATCTACCTGGGAATTTTTAGTGCACAATGACAACGTAACATCACTCCATCAGATGAAAACATCCAATGATGCTGTTAGGAGGCTTTGTCACCTTGTCATTCAGAGAATCTAAGCACAATGAGAGCATTTGGCCTCTCAGCTTCTACAGAGATATTGCAATAGAAATGATTCCATGTAATGAACGTGAAAGTTTCAGTTGCACATCTTTCTTCTCCCATGTACACCAACAAAATATGACTACTGATAGGTAAGTGTTGAGGAGAAATTCCAAAAAGCTGCAACGATGCCTTTGAACAGCACTGTATAGGGAAAAGCCAGTTCTAGAGACAGCAATAAAATACCTGGTTGACGAGAACTGTCAATAGCTGAGAAGGAAATACAGAACAAACATGACTTTAGACATGTTGCCACCTTGTTGAAGGATCACTGTTATCACACTAGTTGCTGTGATAAGCAAGACGTTCTCCTAGCTGTTAATCCCATTTCAGCACTTATAATCTGCCCCCCACACCCCCCAAACAATCCTACATACAATTTCAGCTGCTCTAAAACTTCAAGGTAGGGCTTCACAAATAAAAACTCTCTACTTCTGGGCAAACGAAAGGGAGGTACAAGAGAAAAAAGAACTACGCCCCTTCCTGATTTTAGTTAAGCTCTGAGTACTGGAATTGGAGCTAAGTTAAAGCCTGTCACAGCAAATAATGCTAGCAATAATGCCAGAGTTACAGCCTTACTGGTTATTTTACAGTTTTTTGTTTTTACTCTAGGCATCCAAAATGTTCATGCCATGACTTTCAGCTATTTTTATATTCCAGTAGCGATGTTGAATGTGATCACCAAGGCTTACACTTTGGGGTTCTCCCCGCTTTCTGGGAGGTGAGGGGGCACATGATGAGAATTGTTCTTCCTTTATATAGAGATATATAGATTTATATAGAGGATATATAGATATATAGAGAGAAAGTGAGAGATATACATACGCACACACACACACCTTTCTATATAATAGAATGAGATAAAAATCCCAGAAGAGAAAAGGAGCTGCATAAAACAGTCTTACCCACTTCAACATTCCCTTCAAAATATGGAAATAATAATTATGTACAGTTGAGGTTGTAGGTTCCTAAGAAGTTTTCCTGTCCATAAAAATCATATTCCTTGTATAGTATGTAGTCTTTCAAGCAGTTTGGCAGTGGAAGGAAGGTCATGAAGACAGGACAACGGAGACGCAACCGGCCCATGCATTTCCGTATCTTCAGACGACAAAGATGTTTCAAAGAGCGAGGATTCGCTAGAAGTAAGAAGGCGAGATTGATAAAGTTAAGGTCCAGAAAAGCTTTGGTCCAGATTTTGCTGAATATTTGTTCTGTGAACAGACAGAGGTATGCTAATGTAAGTTTAAAAAAGAGAGGCACCTGTCCTGTGTCAGCCCAAAAACAGTATTAAAGTAGAATTTTGACTTGCTACCTTTTAATCTTTGTACAAACAAATACAGAATTAAATCTAGTCTAAAATTAAATCACTTAATTAGAAATAGAAATTTGTTTGTTGCATCCACTTGAGGCAGGGGAAAAGTTGTTCTCTTTTAATCACAAGTACATAAAAACTTCTTAAATTTTATTTCCCTTGAAGGGAATCATGTTGTCTACATTGTAATTAAATAGTTATCAAGTGCTCTAAATTGTGCAATTACTAACTATCAGACTTCTGAGAGAGACTTGCTTTAAACGCTGCAAAGACTGATTTTTGTTTGAGAGGTATCTTATTGTCAAAGCATAACTCTTAACCCAATAAGGGCCAAGAAAAGGAACAGTTAACTGTTGTACCAACAGCAAAAAAGCCCCAAAGTTTGTCACTTCAGTTATCTAAATATCAGATACTTACTTAAAATTGAATTGATTTCTGGCCAGAGTTCCTGTTCTTTGAGAACTGCTTCCAGCTTCCAGCAGATATTAACGTGATCAACATAATCTAACATTACTCGCACTACTTTCCCAGACAGATGCTTCAGCCATGACAAGGTGATCACTTCACAGAACT